TTTTTTTTTTTTTGAGAGGTTTTTGCTATAGTGCGCATGCGCTCGCCAGACAGACAGAGAGAAAGTGAGAAATCACTCCCCAGGGGAGATGGTCAGACCGCAATCCCTTCTCCTCCATTCTCCTCTTGGGATCTTGGGCACGCACGCACACGCGCCCAGCGTGAGTTTAAGCCACCAGGTCCAGGATGCAAACCTTAGTCGACTACGTGGGAGTCCAGCGACATAGCCATTACGCTAAACTGCTGGTCCCAATTCACTATACATCATTACAACAAACAAAATGAGATTTCCCATCCAGAGTACACTGTACATTGGCTCAATCAAGCTCATCAACATACATGTTATCGTCAGCAAGTAATTTTCCATTTCTTGTTTCCTATTTATTTTGTTGTTTTTGCCATCCTTGATTCCCTATCTCTCACCCTCTGCCATGTCTTGCTCTTCTCCCACACTGTCTCTGGTATCCATGGTTGCTTTCTATGCCTTTTCCCCCCATTTTATTTTTTCGCTAATGAACTTAATCAATCTAAATACTTCCAATAGCAAGCGCAGCTGATATATACATATCTACGAACACAAGTCTGACTCTAGGCATAAACCTCAGTGAGTAGAATGAATATACTATAAAGTAGCACCTAGCTGGGACTATATAGCTTACTGCAGTTATCAAATATGCATTTTTTTTTTAATTTCAAGAAAAATAGTTTTTGTGTTTTTTTTCTTCTGAAACTTTTTTTTAATTAATTAATTTACATTCATCCACTAATCATCGTCACAGCATACAAAAAGTGGTTTCCCATCCAGAATACACGGCATAGTGGCTTAATCATGTACGTTGTCACCAATAATTTTCCATTTCTAGTTTCACTTATTTATTTATTTATTTATTTATTTATATACGTTTACCCCTATGTCTGACCCTCTGCCCTTTCCCACCCTCTTCTCACACTATCTCTGGTGTCTACAGTTGTTTTCCATTCCTTTTCCCCCCACTTTTTTTAATCCTTCTTCTTTCCTAAGACAGAACTTCTAAGCCCTGTTCCCAAAAATATCTCTCCTGCTGACCTAGAGAACAGGGCTGTTGTCGTTACCACGTTCGTTTTCACGTGTCTCATGGTCGTAACACCTCCGTTCAGTTCCTGGGGATGGGGTGAGTACTTCCTGGAGCCCTGCATTCCTGTTTCTAGTGGATCCCTGGAACATATTAGCCAGACGCTCACAGGGGTCCCCCTTGACTTTCCACAGCACCTCTTCTGTCCGCAGACAAAACCGTGATGGCAGTCCTCACAAGTTTACTTAAGCACCTTGCCTCTCATTCTTCAGTCAGAAATTACCCAGCTCTCCCTACCCTGAACCATCTTTTGGCTTCAATCCCAACAAGCTCCGTGGTTTCACCAGCAAACACCCTAAGGGCAGAGGTTCGCATCACATAATCAGTCCCCCTTGAAGACAGAGCCCGCTGCCATGCCTTCCTGCCTCTCCTCCCCTCCCCCAGAGATGGCTGCAGCTTCCAGTTGACCCTCGGTGTGGATATTTACTGCTGACATGTGGCACATCTCCTCTTGCATGACATGTAAAGGGAACCTATTTCAAAGCCTCCATTGTTTATAGCTGTTTTAGTTCTTTTTGCTTGAGGCTCTTAGCACTGGAAAATAGCTAATCAAGGGCAGTGCAGAAAACTGATTTCAGCTGTTTCCTTTATAGTTTACACTATGCATTTCCCTTTGTGACCACATTCTTCTCTCCAGCTCTCCAGATGGCCGCTTGGCCTAAGAAGGTTGCTTTGAACCTGTAAATGGGCTACTGCAGGTTTAAGAAGTAGACCTGTCTTTGTCTTCCTTTGAGAACCGTCTTTCTTTTTTGTTGAAATCCCATTTGTCCTGACTATTAATAGTGAGTGGCTGTGAGGAGCAGCCCCCCAAAGAGGTGTTCGACATTCACGTTTATGCTGCTTTTCTTTGTGTTTGGATATAAAACTTTTTCACTAACAAGCGGTTTAAATAGATTGTTTTTCTTTTTTTCTCTGTTTGGAATATGTCATAGAAGTATGTCACCTCTCTGGTTAGAAAAAAGTTACTAAAAATAATGAAATTACTGAGTTGGAATGTACTATCCAGTGCCCCTCACCTGCCGCCATTACAAATCAATTGCCTACTCTGTGCCTGATGCTGTTCTTGGTGCTGGGACATTGTAGTAAACCATTCCAAAGTCCCTACTCTCCTGGCTTATGGTCTTGGAGTGTAGCTGAATTCTATTTGTTCAGCAGATCCTTGCACAAAGTCAGCAGGTCGCCCAGTGGAAGAGGCACACCTCCTGTGCCATCTAGTTCTTGGACCTGACATTCTTTTCTTTCCTTCTTCAAAATTTGCCAGAGGGTGCATGGGATCCCCAGAAAGAGATAGAGACAGGAAGGGATGGAGAAGGGAAAAGCATGGGGAATGGTTACACTGCAATCTCCTGTCTTCCATCCTTCCCTCTTTTGGGATTTTGGGTGTGCACACCCAACATGTCTGTCAAACCGCAGGGTCCAGGACTCACACTGTACAGTCAGCCAGGCGAGTTCCAGTTCCTAACCACTAGCCCATGGATTGGCCCATGCAGTTAGATTCTTCGTAGCCAAATGGAAACGCTACCATCATTCAATCCCACATGTTGTTTTATAATGAGAAACGATGTATTGTGCTATGAAGAAAGCTCTATAGCAATGCAACTATGAAGGAGTTTTCATCTATTAAATGACAACAACTGTGTAGTTCCTTTGGGGTAGTGAGGAGAGTTGTGGCATGACCCCTAGCTGTGGAATGAATGCAGAAGAGGGTCCCCTCATGTGCGCTAAGAGAACAAAGCCCTGAGATTCCTGTTGGTGAGCTCGTTTCAGCTCAGGACCCCATAGCTATACCTCATGTGGCTTTAGTTGGTATGGGGCTTTTGCTTGGATCATTTGAACCTCGATTCCCCTGAATGTCTTTTGTGCTTGTCATTCTTCTGAATCCATTAGAACTGACCAAGTGTCAATGCTAGCCTTAGGTCTACAGTGTAGCATCATTTCCATCTACCCACCTTCATCAGCTTCTCTTCGTTTAAAAAAAAATGATCTGACAAATAATTTTCTCCTAGTAATTCTTCCTTGCAGCCTCTGATTCTCCCTGCTGTCTTTAATGCTAGCAGTCTTTAGCTAAAATTCTATTTATTAGACAGGTGCTTGGCACAATGCCTACAAGGTTGCCGAGTGGAATCCTCGGGAGAGGATGCTTCCTGTGCCATCTAGCTCTTGTACCTGAATAAATGCACAGACCACACACAGGTATTATGTATATTTGGCAATTCTGTTTCCAAAATTTGGAACTTCATGTGAGCATGAGTTTAGATTCTTTTTTTTTAAAAGGAATTATTCATTTAATTTTATTCATTATCATTATTTTTCCTAATTTGCTATAGGGCATATGTGCTTCACCAGAGAGAGACACACAGAGAGAGAGGGAAAGTAAGAAAGCAAACCTCCAAGTCTGAGACTCAAACGGTGGTTGGTCATATGGGAGTCCAGCACCTCAACCACTACACCACCCACTGGCCTCTCTAGAATCTATTTTTAAGAAGACCTTCACCATGTAATAAGAATAGTCCTTGACTAGCATACAATTAAATGAGCAAATGGCATATGTAAATGTAACTTACTAAATTTACCTTTTTTCTTCTCTCCCATTTAAAAAAGACCTACCATTCCTTTTTTTTTCCCCTTGATTTAACCATGCAATTGAAATTCTGTGATAATTTCCTCAAAGGGGGTCTTGCCTTGGAAATTTCAGCTAGAGAATCCTGGCATTTTTTGTGCTAAAAATAGCTTAGGGGATTTTTCTCCTTCCACTAAAATTGCCAGATGAAATACAAAACACTCAGTTAAGTTTGAATTTTAAATAAATAACAAATAGTTTTTTAATGTAATAAGATCGTTCAGGCAATGTCCGGACATACTTATACTAAGATGCTATTTGCTGTGTATCTGATTTTCATATTTAATTGGGCCTCTTGGATTTTTATTTGCTAAATGATTCTTCCCCAAGTGTTACAAGGAAGCAAGCTGTAAGCTAAACTGTAGGGCTTAATTGAGATTTTCTATACAAAACCATCTATGACCATTTCAACAAGCAGAAAGCGAGAAAGAGGAGTCGTTTTTAGCCTGAAGGTTGGAGAGGGAAGGGTGGAGAACGAACTCCTATTTTTATATCCACGCGAAAGCCAGCTATTGCCAGCACAGACATGGAAGCTGTAAAATGCAGCTTCCCTGATTTGGTTGTGACAAAGGCCGCAGTAAATAACAAATAGAGAAATACACGGAAACGCTACAGTACTGTTTCATGGTGGATTTTTATGGAGCCTTTGAAAATGAAGTATCGTCAGGATCTTGGCAGCTATAATGACCCACTTTTGCCTTTCTGTAACCCTTGAACTTTTCTCCTCCTGGGTTTTGGAGCTCCTTGCCTTTTATCCTCCCTGGATGGTTCATGGTGTTTAGTCTCTCAGCTGGAAGCTGGGACAAAACCCTTCCTAACATCTCACACATTGCAATCTAGGTCAAAACTCTCAGAGAGCTTCTGAATTTCGCAAGTTTTTGTTTCCTTTTTTTTTTTTGAAAGATGTTGGTCAAGTCGAGATTTGTTTAAAAATCCACCCTCAGTTATTATAAAATAATTCAGGGAGGCTGTTTAGATCTATTTCAACATAATGCACGGAAGCAGCTGTAGGGATTCTTGAGTAAATGTGATTTTTTTCAGCTCAGAAGCCACTGCGCATTTACTTCAATATCTGTGGCCACGTGCTGGTTTTTCTTTAGATTATAGTCATTTGAGAGTTTTTCTGTTCTTTGGTTATTAAAACACTGACCTTCTGGGAGCTCCATTAGAAATGTTCAGAGTCCCACACAGTGGGAGTGGGTCGTCAAGTAAGATTCTCATTACCTCACTGCCGGCTCAGGCTCATGGGGCTCTAAGGTTACAGAACTACTTCTAAGAACCGCCAAATAACAGGTGAACCCCTATATCATTCACAGAAGGTCTCCTCAACAGATACGTCATCCAGATTGGTCATCTAGAGGTCTGGAAACATGCTCAGTGTGGCTGTGCCCTGGTCCAAACTTGTTAGTTAGCCATAAAGTAAGCCCACGGGTGTTTTTTTAACCATCTACACTGTCTGGAGTGTCATGTACGTGAGGCTGAAAAACATGCTCTCAGCAGGATGGTGTCTTACTTCAGATGTGAAACTTATTGCTAACGGGTTAGATTTGATAGCGTAGCATGAAGTGATTCCAACTTAGTTTTCTGATTAATTTTTATTATTGTTCTTCTTTTTACAGTGCCCTAATTCAATTTTTCCAGTTGTTTCCTGAATATAAAGACAATGATTTTTATGCCACGGGGGAGGTGAGTTCATGTTCTGTGTTTATGTGTGCTTCAAAATTCTCCAGTTATTTCCTAAACATTCTCAGCTACACCCTTTTCCTTTTTTTTCTTTTTTTTTTTTTTTTTTTTTTTTTTTTTTTTGCCTAAAAGAAAGTACTTTTGCTTCTGAGGGTGGGGAGAGAGAGAAAGCACCCCCAACCCCACCCCATGGGGCATGGTCACACTGCAATCCTTTCCCCTTGAATTCTACCTCCTTTTGGGATTTCGGGCATGTATGTGCAGGTGCCCGGCATGTTTCTCATGTTGCCAGGTGTGGAACTCAAGCCATATGGCTGGCCATTTGGAATCCAGTAGCCTTAACCACCAAGCCACTGTGACCCAACATTATTTTTTTAATTCAGTAACTCAACAAAACTTCATGTATTCCCTTGTCACATCCCAGTCTCCTGTCTGTTCGTTGTTGTTACTTATGAAGATGATTTTGAAGAGCCCAAGTCTGGTGCCTTTACACTGCTCCGTCTTTCGAATTTAAGCAGTTCATCCTCAGTGCTTAGACTCAGTGAGAACATTTTGACAAGGACACTACCTCGATGATGTTGGATACTCTGTGTTGTGTCACATCAGGGCCACATGATATGTTTGTCTCATTACTGGCAATGCCAAACAAACTTAATTACTTGGTCAAAGGGGGATCTCTTAGATCCATGCCATTGTAAAGGCACTTTTTTCTGTTAGTAATTGACAGCTAATCTGAGACCCTGTAAATGCCTGTCCCCACAAATTCTGACACATAATGGTTTTAGTAGCTATTGATGATTCCTGTTTGAATCAGTTACTGCTCTGGGGATCGTAAAATGATAGGGACAAGCAGTTAATGTAATGGCTATGTCAACCGCGGTTCGCGTGCTGGACCTGGTGGCTTAAAATTCATGCTGGGCACGTGTGCGTGCGTGCCCAAGATCCCGAGAGGAGAACGGAGGAGAAGGGAATGCGGCGTGGCCATCCCCTCTGGGGGGTGATTTCTCGCTTTCTGTCTCTCTGTCTCTCTCTGTCTGTCTGGCGAGTGCACGCGCCCTATAGTGAAAACCTCTCCAAAAAAAAAAAAAAATTATCAAAAAAAAAAAAAAAAGATCATTTCTCCAATCTTTCTATAGATGTCATCTGGCATTCTACAGAGACGGTCTTTCTATCCTCCTCCTCTCTGTTATGTTACTTACTTAAACATCTCACAGTAGACTCATTGACTCTTATTCCTATTTGAGGTGTTAAAATTTATTGCTGTTGGGCCAGCTGGTGGTGTGGGGGATTAAGTCAGCTGGATCCCACGTGGCTGACTCGTGGTTCAATTCCCAGATCTGGCAGCTTGAGGATCACACTGAACACGTGCCCAAAGTCCTGAAAAGATAATGGAGGAGAAGGGATTGTGGCGTGGCGGGTGATTTCTCATTTTCCCTTTTTCTCTCTCTATCTCTGTATCTCTCTCCAGTGAGCACACACTGAAGAGGAAAAAAAATAGGGCTATTAATGTTACTTTTGATGTTTATATTGTTTAAATGTGATGAATGAAAGCCCTCTCAAGCTGGTCCCTGTGCCCTTTTGACAGGTCTCTGTTAGTCTCTGAGCATTTCCTTGCTTTTTGGGACACACCTTTGTTCCAGAAGTACTTGGTACTTTCCCCACCCGAGCCCCGGAATTAGTAATTCCTTCCTTTCAATGGAGAGTGGTATCTAAGTGTGCTCATTGCTACGGGGATGTCATTTCTTTTAGACTTCGTATGTAGGCAGAGCTAGGGAGCAAAACGACTGGGTACTGATACAGTATTCAGTCTAATTCTAATTCTGTATAATAGGACCGTCATCTTCTCTCCCCACTCCATAGCTGTCTACCCTTCCTCCCACACTGGAGCGATTTGCAAGTGATTGGGGTTTACTCTTTTTCTTAATCCTGTGATGTGCTCAGAACGGTTTCAGAGTCACTACATTAGTGCCACTATTAGCAAGAATCCCCTAAATTACTTTGAAGGATTTTTACTGCAATTTTTGAAAAAAAAAAAAATTGGCAGAGGGCATGTGTGCTGGTCAGAGACAGACAGGGGAAGAGAGAGAAAGAGAACCCCAAATGAAACATAGTCATGCTACAATCCCTTTTCTTTCATCTCTCCATCCTGTTGGGATATTGGATGTGTATGTGTGTGCGCATGCACATACACACACACACACACACACACACACAGAGCATGTTTTTCAAGTTGCCAGGGCCAGGGTTTGGTCAGGTATATGGGGTCCAGATCCTTTATTAGGCCATAGGACTGGTCCTGTAATTATTTTATCTTTAGGTTATATCTACTCTAAGTTTATAATCAAATATGATCAAAGTAGTATGTTTAAAAGTTACAAGAATTCATTCTTTTTTCCATGGTTATTATAATATCCAATTAAGTTCACTTGTGTATGTTGGTTTCAATTTTAGTGTTCGTTTTTATCATTCTAAATTGAAGACTGTTTTAAAAGCATATAGTAGCCAATATTTTGAGAACATAAGTATAGTTTTAGGTGCTAAGAATATAATAGAGAATAAAACAGAAAATAAAAATCTGCTCTCACACATTCTAGAAGGGGAGGCTGTGTAAATGAAATAAATATATACTAGGCATTATAATCTCGGCAGTGGAAAGGGTCATGAGAAAGATGAATCAGGGTGGGGTTTGGACAGTGAAAGAAGTGCTATTTTAGACAAGATTGCCCAGATAAGGCTCTCTGAGAAGGAACAGGGCCCTGAGTGGTGTGGTGAAGGGGCTCCTGCAGTATTTGGGAGAAAAGCTTTCCTGGCAGAAGCAACAGAAAACACAAAGACTGAGGTGGGAACAGGCTCAATGGGCTTAAGGAGAAGCAAGGGGCCCCCACGGTAGGAGCTGGGAAGGAAGGGGCAGGCAGGTCGGTATGGCCTGACTGCTGACGGCGAGTTCAGACTCTATTCTAAGTGTAATGGGAAACCATTGAAGGGTGCAGCATCTGCTGAAAGGAGATTTAGAATCAAATTCAATTCAATTCAGCACATATATATTGAATACTATGTTCATGGCTTTGGGCAACTATTAGAAATTCAGTGATTAATAAGACATTGACCCTGCTCTAAATTGGAAGGTCTAGTAATTATTATATAGAATGAAATTTGCCATTCAGTAAGTAGTTCTAAAGAGGAAGTACTTAGAAAAGATGCAAATAGCTACCTTTTTTTGGAGAGGTTTTTGCTATAGGGTGCATGTGCTTGCCAGAAAGACAGAAAGAGACAAAGAGACAGAAAGTGAGAAATCACCCCCCAGAAGGGTTGGCCATGTTGCAATCCCTTCTCCATTCTCTTCTCGGGATCTTGGGCACGCACGCACGCACATGCACCCAGCGTGAGTTTAAGCCACCGGGTCTGGGACTTGAATCATGGTTGACTACATGGGAGTCTAGCAATGTAGCCATTAGGCCATCTGCTGGTCCCCCAAAAGAGCTACCTTTCAATATGAGACTCTAAGGAAAGGCCAAGCAGAGGAGGTGACAATTAACAGGGACTTGAAGGTGAAATAGGAGTGTATTAATCGAGGCCCTTTTGCTTGCAAAGGAGAGACTCTCTTTAAAGGGGCTTAAGTAAAATGGGATTCATTCATTTGGCATCAGGCATGGTTGGATCTGGGCGCTCACAGTATGTCATTAGGATTTGGTCTTTTGTTCTCTAATATTTTCTTGCCTTTTTTCTGGTTTTATTCTCAAGTAAGTTCTTTTCACCTGTTCCGCTTGCCCCTCTGCTCCATCCCATAGCAGGGATGGCCTGTCAGTGTGGCTTCTTGTTTGCAGTAAGTATATCCATATTCAAGAATTTCATATGATCTATTTGCATCCCATCCTCATGCTAGAACCAATGACTGGTAATAGGCAAATTGGCCAGAGTGGTGCCTGAGACCACCCCTTCACGCCCTGGTGGGGACAGATCATCGTGGGGTCCCCCCCCACTTTGAACCACAAGGCCTGAGAGTGGGTGATGACTGATTTCCAGAGGAAGATCCAAGTGATGATACCAGAGGAAAGGCAGGAACGGTGCCGGCCAAGCACAGCCACAGAGGCTCACTCTACGGTAGTGAAAAAGAAATCCAGGCCCCCTTCACCCACGGAACTAGGAACATGCTTTCTTCTCTTTCTCGGCTGTTTGAAAAGGATATTCTGCCAATGTACTATGCTACATTTAAGGTTCTTAAAAAGCCAATTATCCACTCAGGGTTATTATCCTTTTCTTTTTCTTTTATAATTTGCCAGAGGACATATGTGCTTGACAGAGACAGTCAGAGAGGGAGAATGAGAAAGCACCACCCCCGGCATTGGGATGGTCATGCCACAATCCCTTCTCCTTCTCCATTCCCCTCTCAGGACTTTGGGTATGTGTACACAGCATCCAGTGTGTTTTTCAAGTTTCCGGGTCTGGGACTCAAACTGTGCCATATAAGAAAGATCCAACCGCCTTTACCACCACACCACTGGCCAGCCCTCCAGTCAGGATTGTTTAGGACCTTAACCAACAATTCCCTGCTATGCCTTGCCTTTTAACTGATTTCAGAAGCAGGGTGGGGAAGGGGCAGCAAGTGACATTCCTGTCATGTGACAGCAACCCTGGAAAATGCCACGTCTCCACTTCCAGAGTAGGAGTGATCTGCTCGTGTGTGCGTCCCGGAGTTAGAAGTAACATGGCGGTGCTGTGACCGTGATGCCGTGCTGCCAGCAGGGCTGACAAATCCCAGATGAAAAGTTCAGCTTGTCTCTCTCATGTCTGCCGGGTGGTTTTATGCATGTAATTTCCAAATGTGCGTAGGAAAGGACAGTTTTCTTTTTACGTTCTCTGCTGGCAGGAGGAGTACTTTTAAGGAAACCTGTGCCTTCTGAGTGATGAAGGAAGGTGCGAGGAAGGGCGGGGAGGGCCCGAGGGAGAGAGTCAGTTGCCAGGCGACAGCGTCTTTGTAAGAACTACACGGGGTACTTTCCATC